GAGTTCAAAGAAAAGAATTTTGTGAAAAGTAAAGTAATACATCATAAACCATCATTAAGGGAAGCATCTAAAACCAAACTTTTAGAAGAGCCCTACACACGCGTATCTTGGAGGTGCATTACCCTTCATTTGTGATTTGTGCACAAAGTAGCAAAACCAAAATGGTGATGGGATTTTCAAATGGTCCACTACTCCAAGGGCACAAATGGCTTATCTTGGTTCTCAAAGTAGGTCTCATGGGGATGATCATGGTTGCAAGAACATCATCAGGTGATGAAATCGGGACACCACCGGCCGGTCTATTATGTATCAGCGAATGCAGAACATGTCCGGTCATATGTTCACCTCCACCAGCACCGACGTTAAAGTCGTTTCCACCACCGTCGCCAGTTCACCACTCGTCACCACCGATGGTGCCTTACTTTTACTTACCACCGCAAACTCCCAACCATTCCCCGCCACCATTGGAATCGGAATCTTTCTCACCGCCTCCATCTCCACCTCCGCCGACTCCTTCGTCGTCGTCCTCCAAGGGCAGTCCGCCACCGCCTCCTCCTCAGTATGTCCATAGTGCACCTACAGGCCAAGGGTCACCTTCGGTAGGACCGCATGAGTACCCTTACCCTTACCCTTATTACTATTTCTATTCATCCAATGCCTCTTCTATTTCTTTTCATGTGTCAATCTCAATTGTAATGTTATTTTTCAGTGCTGCATTGTTCCATTGTTGAGTTCTCGGATGTTCATAGGGTTTTGGGGTTAGTAGATGCAAATAGATTATATACATATATGTGTATAAATTTGGGGTGTATGTTGTTTTATTCATCAAAACTAATAAATTTAATCAATTATCCCATTGACCGTCAAAGGGTTAATCGTCAATCTCCTTCATATCTTATATAAATTCAATCCATTCGTATCTTATATAAATTTTTGATTGCGTCTATTTCTTACTGTTCTTTGCCTTTAAATTAGGTTGTCGTACGACATAACTATCCTATTGTATTGCTGATCTTCAACAATTATATATACTACTTTCAATAACACGTGCTACAATAATTAAAGAAAGGACCCATTGTGAAAATTTAATTAAAAGATTTAAAGACTTAAAGGACCTAATTAAAGAAATTAGAAAAGTTTGAGGACCCATGCGGAGCTTTGGTAGAGAATGGCGTGCATGTAGAGGATTAAACCCGAGCATGTTCATAAGGTTCAAAGGGTTTTATCATATTAATTGAGTGCCAATTTTTAAAGGTAAGTAATTAAGCAATAACATATTAATTAGGGTTAATTACTTCAAACATCACTAATCATTAAGCGTTGATTTGTTTATATCATCAACGCTTTAATTTTGTCAATTTTAGCACTAATGTTTACTTTTAAGTAAAATTATGTCACTCCGCCGTTAATAGTTTAACGGGACGATAATATAGTAACTACATATTGCGACGTTGCTGACGTGAATATCTCAATTAAACGACGTCGTTTTGGCATTACTATTTTAGTGCTCAAAGTACTTAAAATGATGTGGTTTCGCTTGAACCCTAATTTTCCTATTTACTAAACTCAAAATTCCCAATTACATATTTTTATCTTCTTCCTCCTCGTCTTCGTCTGCATATCAAGACACCATAGCTCCGGCCGTTTCTGCCATAAAACGAAACCACCCACCTCTAGCCGACGTGCCTCAAGTTCCTCACTTTAACGATCTTGTTGTTCACACTGCCTTCTCCGCCACTGAACTATGAAGCCGCCATTCTCACTTTCCTCATCGCATACATACTATCAATCGCACCCAACGCCTTCTCCCCGCCGACCGCCGCATTGTACTGTTTTGCCATCGAAGATTGCTGTAATAAAACAAACCTAAATTCATAAGCATTATTACATCATGATTTGTTGATAGTAAATTTCACATTTTTTACTTTTAATGGGATGATACTTGATGTTTTTGGTGATGGAATAGTCATCGGTGTTGGGGTTTATAGGGAGAGGAATCAATGGAGCTCCAATGACACCAAGCCGGAGCTGAATCTCGGTGTTCCTCGTATCGAAAATAGCCACCATGGAATGTCTTTGGTCGGGGATCTACTTCATGTTCATCCATGATTTCAGGTTCTACCATAACGATGAATCTAGTTGTCTTGTTTGGAACAAACATTTCTTCTGGGATTGGTACTTTGAAATCAATCAGTGTGAACAACAAGATCGTTAAAGTGAGGAACTTGAAGCACGTCGGCGGAGAGGTGGGTGGTTTCGTTTTATGGCAGAAACGGCCGGAGCTATGGTGTCTAGATATGCAGATGAAGATAAGGAGGAAGAAGATAAAAATATATAATTGGAAAATTTGAGTTTAGCTCCTAGGAAAATTAGGGTTCAAGCAAAACGACGTCGTTTAGATGACACAATCACGTCAGCAACGTCACGACATGTCATTGACATGTCATCGTCCCATTAAACCGTTAACGGCGGAGTTGCATAATTGCACTTAAAAGTAAACATTAGTGCTAAAATTGACAAAATTAAAACGCCGGTGGTATAAAAGAGTCAAAACTTATAAGTTGGTGGTGTTTGAAGTAGTTAACCCTATTAATTAATTAGAGTTGTTTGATTTTATATTTAATTTTAGTATGTTTAGTACAATATCAGTCGTGGATGCATTTTGAGATTTGAAGGAGGAACATGTTTTATTATGATTTTGATAGTTATGTCTTCAATACCTTTTAAAATCATATTTTTTTTATTATTTACTTTAACTTTTTTCTTTTAATTTTCTACTTGTTATTTCGTAGAAATTATAGAGCTAATATGCATATTTGATATTATCTTTTATATTTTTAAAATAAATAAATAAATAAATAAACTCGAATTGATCTGATTAAAATGTTGACTTAAACCGAAAATCAACAGATCTGATATTGACCCGATTTAAAAATCAATCGATTTGATATTGATCTGACCCAAAAATAAAACAATCCAATATTGATTTGAACTTAAAAATAATTGATTTGACATTCACCTAACCTAAAAATTGACCTATTCAAAAATTGACCTAACCTGATATATGATATGACTCGATTTATCATACTCAAAAACTAAATTCGAATTAGATCTAATCCGACTCAATAAAATTAAATTAAATAATTTATACCCAAAATAACTCCATCCAACCTCAATCTATATGATCCATTTGCCACCTCTAGTTATTTATCCCACTTTGGACGGTCATGATTGTAGTAGGCTCCATCCAACGGCAATGACTCATTCATATTAGATATTTCCTGATAAAGGGTTGTACTTATTGCTGACCACTTATTAATTCAAAAGGTTCTTTAATTCATGATAATGAATGCAAATAGGTTGGTGGTCCCCATTTGATGTAATTAAATTTATTAGAGATACGAATCGAGAGATTTTAATAATAAAAAATTATTGTTATTATTTGAGATCTTATTTAAGTAGTTTAAATGTTAAAGGTGTGAACTTTCGATGTTAAATAGTTAAGAGTTATCTTTAAATAGATATTATCTTATATTATCCCGTTTTAATAAAAAAAATATTAGAAGAGTTTCGTTCGTGAAAAAGATCATTACGAGAGTGAATAACTTTTTTTATAATTATATTTTCATGTTTAATTCAAGAAAAAGATTTAGTTAGAAAGATTATTATATCTAAATTCTTAGATATTATGTAATTCTAATCACTTTAGATAAAATATTACGAGAGTGAATTCTTTTTACAATGATCATTGTCATTTCGTAAAAATTATTATATATTTTTTATATTTAATATATTAATTATTTATAATTTTATAAGGTAAAAAATAATGTTATTATAGAAAATATAATTATTTAAAATAATATCTAACTTTAAGTTATTACAAGTGAATCTTACACATTGAAAAAATAATATCTTTGTCTACTCAATATTATAATATTATTTGTCATGTTGTCTTATATTTTATATAAATAAATATTATACTTATTAAAATTATTTAAAAATATAAGTTTAATATAATAATTATGTAAATTTAACAATATGATACTTATGAAAATTCATAATGATGGTTATTTTTTTCAATTTGTTTTATTTCGATAATTGATTTTAAAATTTTATGTTTTTGGTCATTTTATTTTTAATTTATCTTATTTTGATCACTAATTATTTTTTAATAGAAGTCGCTAGTATTATTAAAAGAGTGAAAATATCCGAAATTACAATAAGAGTTTACAACTATCATCGTAAAATAAATAAATAATTAGGACTTTTCTTATAGCATTAAAACTAGCCACTTTAGATCATACAAGGACCATACATTAAAAAGATTAAAAACCCAACCAATAGACTTGAACAAAATATTAATTTGATCACTAATTGTTAATTCTTGTTAGTTTAGTGACATGATATGATAGTAAAATATTTAAATTTTAATTTGATCCATGATTTTTAAATAGAATTATAATTTGACCCTAATTTGACCCATAGATCCAATCAAAGTCCTCATTGTCACTCATCAATGTTGTCTATCACTTTTGGTTGTTGTCACTGATCACCGTCGACTGTCATTACCGATGATCGTTAGATCCTAAAATTTTTAGTTCATTTCTTTTTAAACTCCTAAATGTGAATATGATGTTTGTTTCATCGACAAATGATCTAAACTTTACAAACCTAGTCTAGAATCCTTCAAATTATTTTTAAAATGAATTATAATGATAAAATTATAATTATATTCTTTTAAAAATCTAAATCTGTATCATAGTACATTTATAATATAATGATAATACTTTAATTTATATATATATATATATATTTAAAAATATAATATACATTTTTTATTTATATTTTGATTTTGTAAGATAAACGAGTAGAGTTGTTGGAAGGCCGTTCACATTGCTTTGGATTTATTGTGGCATTATTTCGGAGGGTTAGAGAAAGAAGTGTCATTTTTCCTTGTATATATAGGGGTTCAAAGCAATTAGGGTTGAGCCATAGTCATTTATCATCCTCTTCTTGTTCATCATCTTCTTCACTGGCAGCAACAATGAATGGCCAACGAAAAGCCAAGATCTCTCCTACTTTCCTGAAAGTAAGACCTAGAGAAGCAGGTTTAAGGGATCTCTCTCGTCTCTTGGCCCGCAGTGACATAAGGCAAAGAGATTTTGTCGACAGCTCGGATGAAACCGGAGTCGAATTCAAGTACAGGTGGCTGATATTCATCTCCATCGTGATGCAGAAGTTGCTCATGTTCTTCTCCAAGCCAATGGCATTGGTGGGACTGGTGATCGAGACGTGGCTCAACTTTCTCTCCTACAACCCCAGCCCTTGTGCTTTCATCAAACATCTCTTCTTTAAAGGTATGCATACACACATACACCTATCAGGTTGGATTTTTTTTTTTTAAATTAGGTTCGGGTCAATTTTTTTAGAGATTATATTCTTACCGGATCGGATTCGAGTTTAAAGTGAAAAATATTTGATCCTGCTCAACCAAGAACTTATAGTTTTAAATTATATATACAGGGATAATTACAATAATATACATCTCTATATAATTTCTTTCAATTAATCTTTATTTTTTATTAAATAAAATTAATATTTTTCATAAATATATTACTTCGGATTAGATCTAGCTCGAATTTTATCTCAAAAGAACAGGTGAGATTCGAGTTGGATGAATAGTTTATAATTTTTATGTCAAATTCGAATATGTAATTTTTGAGTCAAATCAGGGTCGACCATGCCGAGTAGAGATTCAGCAGACTATGTCTCCTTCGTTGGACAATTAGATGACAGAAAGAAGCTGGACAGCAGCATAAAAAATGGAGGCATAAGGTATTTCCCAGCATTGTGTATGATGGCTTCCAAAGCAGCATATGAGAACGAAGCCTACATTCAGAGTATGGTCAAGGACTGGGAGGTATGTATTATACGAAACTTGACTGGCACAACACACGAATTATAGAATATCGATGATCTACCATCAATACTATATCAATTCTCTGACGTGGGTTAATCTTTTATTTTATATCATTCTAGAATGGATCATATATCATATTTTAGTTGGTAAAACCGATCATATATTCTTTAAACATTACATGGATGAACTTAGGTGGAAGTAGTCGATCCTGAAAATTTAAAATTACTATATAAAATTTTATAAGTTCAAATTCGTCTCATCTAAAATAAAATACTACGTCCATCCCTAATCTATTTCTCACATATATATATATATAAATATATATTAAAGAAGTGTGGTTCTCTCTATAAGTCGTGAATTCGAGAAATTGAATATTTAGGGAAAGTGTACGTTGTCAATAGGTTTTTAAGAAAGATTTTAAACAAATACTAACATGTAATCTCCGGATTATGTATGATCTTATTTGGTTGAACATCTCCATCTCTCACAGTTTTACTGAACAATGTGGTTACATATTTTTCAATCTTCCTGCAGATGGTGGAGTTCTTGGAATTTAAGAACTGTTGGAATGGTAACTCACATAAATCTTCATTAACATAACTAAGACGAGACATGAGAATGAACAAGCGATTCGGTTTTCTTTCGTTCTGCAGATTACCGAAACAAAGCCACGACCGGAGTCTATTTCCTTCGAGTCAAAGGCGATGATCACGACACCATTGTCGTTGCTTTTAGAGGAACCATGCCATTCAGCGCGGACGATTGGTGCACAGACTGGGATCTCTCACAAAAACAGCTCGACTACATGGGAAGCGTCCACGAAGGCTTCATGAGAGCCCTAGGGCTACCCAAAGATGAGCAAAACGACCCAAATTTCTTCAATTGGCCGGTGGACTGCGAACAAAAACAACCCACGGCCTACTATTTCGTAAGAGACAAGTTGAAACAACTATTGAACGGAAACGAGAAAACGAAATTCGTAGTGACCGGCCATAGTTTGGGCGGCGCGTTAGCGATTCTCTTCCCTACGGTCTTGCTTTACCAAGACGAGAACATGCTCGTGCAGCGATTGGATGGCGTCTACACGTACGGTCAGCCGAGGGTCGGCGACGGAAAGTTCGCCGAGTTCATGAAAAAAGTGTTGAAAGAGCAAAATGTTCGATATTTGAGATTCGTTTACGATTTCGACATGGTCCCGAGGCTGCCTTTTGACGACGAAGATCATTGGTACACGCACTTTGGCAAGTGTTTGTACTATGATTGTCATTATAAAGGGAAGGGTGTGTCGGTGTTACCTAACAAGAATTATTTCTCGTTGGTGTTCGCCGGCATCACGATGATGAGTGCCTTGTATGTGTTGGCGGAAAGCGTCGCGATGTCGGTGAATATGATCATGAGTGCTTTCTATGAGGTGGTACAAGGCTTCACAATTCAATATACGAAGGGATCATATTATAAAGAAGGGTGGTTGTCACGTAGTAGTAGAGTAATCGGAATGATGATCATCGGACTTCCGGATCATTCACCTTATGGTTATGTCAACATTACTAGCCTTGGATCACCGGAAGATCTAGTAGATTCATAGTTCTTTTTAACTTGTTATTTCGGGATAAGCCGAAAGAATGTTAGGATTGTGGTCACAGTCCCGAAAAAATTAAATTTTCATATAACTTAAGTATTTTTCTTCGTACTCGTTTTAAATCATTTGAAGATATATTTGAACTCATGGATTCTTAGTGTTGTGTTTCGAAATCAATATTGTACTGAAATCTATCATCAAATAACTTGTCTTAATAGTGTAACTTAGGTATGCAAAAGTTGATGTATTAGCAATGTTACTATAGGTAGTCACTTATGCTGATGTGGAATGTTTATCGTTGACATGAAATTTATGTGTCATCTACGTCATTTTTCTTCTTTTATTTTATCTTCTTTCAAAGATAGAGTTTTATAATTTTATTTTCGTGTCGGTGTTGTGTTTATCGTTTTATGATGTCTTCTTTAACTACTTAAGATATTAATAAATTGTCCCATTGTCTCATATCATTCTATCATATTAGATTTTACTTAATTCACCTTAAAACTCATAAAAGTGCTTAAGTATAAACCCAAAGCTCATGAAATTCCAAAGTACTATGATCTATAGTAACCATCATCTGTAAAATTGAGATATAGGGCATGCTTCCTCCTCCTCCGCTTCCTCACTGTTGGGATTTGAAGAAAAAAATTTTCATCCGGGAGAAATCAAAGGAAATTTAAAACTGAATTTTTTTTAAAAAAAAATGAAAAAAGTTTTGAGGTCACTTCATAATTTTTAAAATAAAAAATGTCCATAAGTCGTTAAATATGTAATGACGAAGTGATTAAAATAAGATCTCGTGGGGCTTAACAGATGTTAGGTTGCAACCCCACTCCTCAACTAATAGCGTTATATGGAGCCCACTACCCCCCAAACCATCGTACCATCTGTTTAGTCCCGATGCTCGCACACTTAGGTTACATATGAACCTAGGAGAAGGTCGCTTACACCATGGTAGCTCCACATGCTAGCTCGAGGTGAATACACCTTTTAGCTTTTATCCCACATTGTCAAGAAATGTAACATAAACACTCCAATATACATATATAAACTAACCCCATTAAGCTCTTCAATTCATGGAACTAATATATATTAAATTACGATATTAGTCCTTATAGTTTTATTTTTCATTTTTTAAAGCATATTTTTTAAAAAAAAATGTTTTTAGGAAATCTGATATGGTAAAAAAAACCTCGAAGCGTGCCCTCTTGAAACTCGTTTTCCCACGTGCGGACATTTCTCCTAAAAGGGGCGTTTCAGGGAACATGCGTTTCACATAATGTGCCTTATTATAAAGGGTGTTAAATCATTAAAATTTAGAGAAACGGTGTTTGACAGATAATATTATAATATTTGGATATTTTTGGGTAAAAATACTGAAAAAAATCATAACGATTAATTTTTATGTTATAATCAGAATAGTTAAACAATTTTCATGATTTGTTAACGTAATATTTTTATTTCAATCTTAAATATTACTTAAATTATTTTAAAAAATTTACATTTTTAATAACTTTTTCGATTACAATTAATTTTTGTTATTAAATTACGATGAATACAAAGTAGTATTTGTTCTAAACACTCTCAACCATTTGACATTGAACGCTCAATCACCCTGCTGCAGCCGCTGGTACTCGAACTCGTGACCTTTAGGAGTAACCGCGATTCCTTTAACCATTGAGATAAATTGATCAAAAAAATTAGTTGTATTTTATACTCGTCCATAAAAATAATGCAGCATAATAAAAAACTTAATACTAAAATAAGTTCCTAAATTATATTTAAAATTTGATATTTTGTTGCATAAATGTTTTCTTTATTAAAAATAGGTACATAAGGTTTTTTTGTTACACTTTTAAGTGTTTTCTGTTAAAAAAAATTTTAACTGACATATGTCACGTTTATATATTTAAAAAAAAAATAAGATATTATTTTTAATCTGAATGTACACGTATCATTTAATGATTTTTTTAATGGTAGACGCTTAAAAGCATAACAAAAAAAAAAGATTAAACACTTGTTTTTAATAAAAAAAATTAAATATTAAAAATTAATTTTTAATATAATTTAACCACTTAATTTTATATTGAGAAAATAACCTTAGTGACCAAAAATCCCATATAATATACGATTTTAACCAACTTTTTCCGGATTTGCCAAAATGACCAACAAAATCGCAATGTGATCGCTAATTCGCAACGCGATCTCCATTATCGCAAATTCGCGTTGCATTTTCGCAATGCGATAGTTGAAAATCGCGTTGCGATGGTCTACAGTATCGTTGCGATTTTCCCAATTCGCAATGCGAATAAGTAAATCGCAACGCGAATTGGGAAATTCGCAATGCGAATAAGTAAATCGCAACGCGAATTGGGAAAATCGCAATGCGATACTGACTATCGCAATGCGATAATAAAAAATCGCAACGCGATACTGACTTTCGCAACGCGATAATACATAATCGCAATGCGATTTTCAAAGCGCCATTAGTATCCTGGCCAAGTATTTTATTTTTAAATTCCAAACATGAATATAAATATATTGGAACACTGAACTGTCCACAGTATATCCGTAATCGCAACTCATAACCTAAAACCTAAAATCACAACTCAGTCCCATCTCCATCTCTCACTCTCTCACCCATCTCCGACGAAATCCGTTCCCATCTCCGGCGAAATCCGTCTATCTAAATCTCTCAGAGCCACCCTCACAATCAGAAATGGAAAATCAACCAAATCAACCAACGAGGGTTAGTTTTTTTAATTATTTTCTTTTTGAAATTTTTGCATTATTATTAGGTTTTTCATATTGAAATTGATAATAGGTTTACTGGTAATTTCAATAATAGATTAACTATTTCACTTAGATTGCTTATTAAATCAACCAAGAATCGCAACGCGAAATGCAAATCGCAACGCGATTTTAGTTTCGCGTTGCGATTCTCTCGTTGCGATAGTCATTTCGTGTTGCGATTTTCATTTTCAGAAACTATTCTTCTTCTGCAAATTGAAACTTGAATGAATTGCATTACTTCAACCAAAAAACAAAGACAAATACGAAATTCACAGTGTTGCATATTTAATTTTGAAGAATAAACTACTACTATTTATGTTTATTATTGTTTTTGGTATATCTTCACAGTGTAGTTTTTGGTATATCTAATTTAGTATGTTTATTGTTTTTGTAGAACTTTTATTCGGCTCAATTGACCTTGAGAAATAAAGTCAGCCTGGCCAAAACAATTGCGTCGAAGCTTTCACCTGCACAAAGAAAATGTTTGAGGATACATGCTTCGGGCCATGGCTGAAAGTACAACATCCCGGTGGAGATGCGATGTTGACACACCTGTTTCTTCAAACCATGACTAGAGATCTACCAGAGACTATACAACGTCGTGATGAAGAGATATGGTTTGATTTTCCACCGGCGTATACGTGTTTTGGGCGGGAGGAGTTTGCTTAATCACGGTCTACGCTTCGGACACGATGATATAGGTCGGTACACTAGACATTACCCGCCCATCATGGCTATCCGGGTTTTCCCTGAGCTGGAGAGGCCGAGTCTACACGTAGAAGACCTGACAAGATTTTTGAATAATAAAGATGGTTTTACTCGGATGGATGACGTCGACGTTGTCCGAGTATGCCTTCTAATTCTTTTGCATGCCGGCTTTTTAGGCAGAGAGGCCATACAACCTATTCCAAATGATCTAATCAAATTGGTAGAAGACCTAAATGCGTGGAACCTGTTTCCGTGGGGCTCGTATTTATGGAAAGCTACATGGAATAAGTTATCGTCTGCCTTGGATGATCGAAAAAGTTTGCATGGCGATGGTTCCAAATACACTTTGACAGGCTTTATTTGGGCCTTTAAGGTAAGAATTTTTATATAATGTTTCCAAAATTATAAGTAATTATTTAACAATTACTAATGTTTGTTATTATATTGTTTGTAGATTTGGATATTTGAGGCCTTTCCCGCCATGAAGACATATGCAATAAAAACTTCAAATAATATTCCCAGGGCTATTTCTTGGAAGAGGAAACGAACCTTGCAATGGGAAGATTTACTACGGTATACGACAATAAATAATGTAAGTAACATAAATACTACCATATGTTTATAAACAAGTTATTACTAGTACACATTTAACTTTGTTTAAGCTTTTATATTGTTAGGAGGCCAACACTCCTCTACAGAGGCTGACACCCACGGAAGCTGAGCTTGCCACTGATTGGTGGCAAGCTAGTAAGCGTTTTTTTTATGGAACGGTTGATGAGCAGCCTCCACTTCGGGAGCCATCACCTCGCCCAGAGCTATCACCTCACCTAGAGCCATCATCTGATCGACCCGGCTATACACCTCCACAACGACAGCCATCACCTATTCTTTCACATCATCGAGCCTCTTCTCCACCATCACCGCAAGATAGGCGACCGGCAAAGATGTCACGACGTTTATCTCCCTGTTCTCCACCTCCACCTCAACGGGATGAGTTAGGGGAGTTACGTGATGAGGTCAATGCCTTGCGTGAGGAGGTCGGTACTTTACGCAAAGACGATGGTGCATGGCGTGTTGAGGTGTCTACATTACGCGGTGAGGTAGCCGCTCTACGTGAGATGGTAGCATCGTTGCAGAATGAGGTTCATACTCTACGCAACGAGGTAAGTTTAAGATTTTTCATACTCGTAATTCATTCGGTTGCTGCCAATCTGTTTTTGTTAGTATTTGTTTTTGGTTTTGTTTTTGTCTTTTGGTTGAAGTAATGCAATCCATTCAAGTTTCAATTTGCAGAAGAATAATAGTTTACTTTTGCAACACGAAAATGACTATCGCAACGCGGAAATGGCTATCGCAATGCGAAATGAAAATCGCAACGACAAAATCGCAACGCGAAATGAAATCGCAACGACAAAATCGCAACGCGAAATGAAAATCGCAATGCGATTTGTGTTTCGCGTTGCGATTTTGTCGTTGCGATTTCATTTCGCGTTGCGATTTTGTCGTTGCTATTTTCATTTCGCATTGCGATAGCCATTTCCGCGTTGCGATAGTCATTTCGCGTTGCGATTTTAAGTTTCGTGTGCGAAAGTAAACTATTCTTCTTCT